GGTCTCTTAGTGTAGGTAGGATATCTATCCAGGACCTTCTGGCTCTCAGAGTTTCCATGGAGAAATCAGGTGTAATTCTGATAGGTCTGCCTTTATATGTTACTTGACCTTTTTCCTTAGCTGCTCTTAATATTCTTTCTTTATTCTGTATGTTTGGGGTCTTGATTATTATGTGGCGAGGGGATTTTTTTGTGGTCCACTCTATTTGGTGTTCTGTAGGCTTCTTGTACCTTCATTGGCATGTCTTTCTTAAGGTTGGGAAAGTTTTCTTCTATGATTTTGTTGAATATGCCTTCTGCCCCTTTGAGGTGGATTTCTTCTCCTTCTTCTATACCTATTATTCTTAGGTTTGGTCTTTTCATGGTGTCCCATATTTCCTGGGTGTTTTGTGTTAAGGATTTGTTGGATTTAAGGTTTTCTTTGGTTGATAAATCCATTTCTCCTAGTGTATCTTCAACACTTGAGATTCTCTCTTCCATCTCTTCTATTCTGTTGGTAATGCTTGTATTGGTAGTGCCTGACTGTTTGTCCAGCTTTTCTATTTTCTGCCTTTCTTCAGATTGTGTTTTTTGTAATGTCTCTATTTCAGTTTTCAACCCTTGCAGTGTTTGTATTGCTTCTTGCAATTTTCTGTTTATCTGTTCGTCCGTTTGTTGCCTTTTATGAATTTTTTGGTTTGTTCTTTCTTCCATTTCTTGCATTTTTTGGTTTGCTTTTTGTTCCATTTCTCGCATTTTGTGCTTTGTTTCTTCTTCCATTTCCTGCCTTTTTTGGTTTGTGTCTTCTTCCATTTTTTTCATTTTTTTGCTTTGTTTTTTCTTCCATTTCTTGCATTTTTTGCTTCATTTCTTCTTCCATTTCCTGCCTTTTTTGGTTTGTTTTTTCTTCCAATTCTTGCATTTTTTGGTTCGCTTTTTCTTCCATTTCTTGCATTTTTTGGTTTGTTTTTTCTTCCATTTCTTTGAGGGATTTTCCAATATCCTCTTTTAGGGCCTCTATCATTTTCATGAAAGTGCTTTTAAGGTCGTTCTCTTCTGCTTCATTCGCATTGGAATGTTGGGGTCTTGCTGGTGTGGAGTCTCTAGAATCTGGCGGTGTCATATTTGTTTTTCTGTTGCTGACTGTGTTTTTGTATTGTCTCTTTCCCATCTCTTCTTCTAGTGGGTGCAGAAAGAGCCCCTTACTGGTCTGGGGACCAGAGTTCCCTTTTGGTGGGTGCTAGCAAGTCCAATGATCTGGTGGTTCTTCTATTCCTTGTCCAAATGCTGGTCCCGTGGGTGGAGAAGAAGAACAGGAATCTGGGGCACTTAGCCTCCTACCTGGTCCCCTGGACCCTATGCTGGGTCCTGTTGTACCTGATCCGCAACAGCTACTCCCCTGGTCTCCCTGGCTCCTTTGGTTTCCTGGTCTCGTTGGTGGGAGAGAAGATCTGGAGTCTGGGGTGCTTGGCTCCCGCCGGGATTGGGAGCTCTGTGCAGTTCCCAGGCAATCTGCAGGCACTGGAACACAGGCCAGGAAGCCGGCCTGTTTACCTGATGCTGCCAGAGGAACAGCTGCTTCCCTGGACTTCCAGCCTCCTCTCAATTCCTGGTCTCGTTGGTGGGAGAGAAGATCTGGAGTCTGGGGTGCTTGGCTCCCGCCGGGATTGGGAGCTCTGTGCAGTTCCCAGGCGATCTGCAGGCACTGGAACACAGGCCAGGAAGCCGGCCTGTTTACCTGATGCTGCTGGAGGGATAGCTACTTCCCTGGACTCCCAGGCTCCTCTCCTTTCCTGGTCTCGATGGTGGGAGAGAAGATCTGGAGTCTGGGGTGCTTGGCTTCCGCCGGGATTGGGAGCTCTGTGCAGTTCCCAGGCGATCTGCAGGCACTGGAACACAGGCCAGGAAGCCGGCCTGTTTACCTGATGCTGCCTGAGGAACAGCTGCTTCGAAAATACAGTCTTAATGGAGTGCATGTCTACGAAATGTTGGTAAGTCCCTGAGAAATAGGTAGTTATAAAATTGTAGGATTAACCATATACATGCTTTCAGTTGAAAGAGTGCATACTAATTTAACCAAAAAAGAATAATTTTGAAGGAGGGAGTAGACCTTTAAAAAACTGTATGGACATGTAGAGACAAAGAGAATATGAGGACAGTCAGCTAGCCATTACAGTTGGACATTTGACATATGCATTCACAGTTAAAACAGTAGATTAATGTAATTATCTCTATATTTTCTCTCATAGCTATGTGTCATTTGACTTGTGTTTATAAAATAGGACATAACTAGTCAACATAACAACATAGTATGAAGATCACAGTGGAATTATTTACAACATTACTACATTAAGGAAATGGTAACATTCAATTAAAATGTGTTTATTTTCATAATAAAAGCATGATACAAAGAAATACATGATTCCTTAGTGAGACCTAACATCACATGTGTATGTGTACACATTTCATATTAACAACAAATGTATAAAGTTTTGAAAAACATGAAGTATACAAATATGAAATTGAATCTTTTGTTTAAACTAATTGATATGAGAAAATAGTTTATTGAAATATACTTTCCAAATTAGAAAAATGTGTGAAAATCTAAGAAAATTAGATCATAAAAATGAATTGTATTAGCCCACAGAATGGGAAAAGATATTCACCATCCCCACATCTGACAGAGGGCTAAGAACTCAAGAAACTAATCTCCAAAACACCAAATAATCCAATTAAAAAGTGGGGTACAGAAATAAATACAGAATTCTCAATAGAGGAGTCTAAAATAGCTGAAAGACACTTCAGAAAGTGCTCAACATCCTTAGCCATCAGGGAAATGCAAATCAAAATCTGAGATACCATCCTACTCCTGTCAGAATGACTAAAATCAAAAACACCAATAACAGTTTATGCTGCAGAGGATGTGGAGAAAGGGGGACAGGCTTCCACTGCTGGTGGGAGTGCCAATTTGTTCAGTCACTTTGGAGATCAATATGAAGTTTCCTCAGGAAAATGGGAATCAGTCTACCACAAGATCCAGCAATTCCACTCTTAGGCATATACCCAAAAGATGCACATTTGCACAAAGACATCTGTTCAACTATGTTCATAGCAGCATTATTTGTAATAGCAAGAACCTGAAAGCAACCTAGATGCCCCTCAACTGAAGAGTGGATAGAGAAAATGTGGTACATTTACACAATGGAGTACTACTCAGCAGAAAAAAACTATGGAATCTTGAAATTTGCAGGCTAATGGATGGCACTAGAAGAACTATCCTGAGTGACATAACCCAATCACAAAAAGACAAACATGGTATATACTCACTCATATATGGATTATAACAAGGGAGTGACAGCCTACAATTCCACTGCCAGAGAGTCTGGGAAACAGGAAGGACCCTAAGAGAGATATGCATGGTACCCCAGAGAAGGAGAATGGGACAGGATCTCCTGAGGGGATTGGGAGCATGGGGAAGGGAGAGCAGAGGGAGTTGAGAGAAAGACAGGGGGAGAAGAGGAGGGAAGAGGAGGACATGGGGGAACAGGAAGGTTGAGTCAGGTGAAGAATAGAGGAGAGCAGGATGAGGGAGCAATTAAAGATTTGAGGAGAGATCTGGCACTAGTGAGATTTTTAGAGATCTACAAGAATGACACCAATAGTGAAGAGGCTACCTTAAATGCCCTTCCCCGATAATGAGATTGATGACTACCTTATATACCATCCTAGAGCCTTCATCAGTGGCTGATGGAAGCAGAGGAAGACACACACACATAAACACTGAACTGAACTTCTGCAACCAAGTTGCAGAGAGGGAGAAGTGATGAGCAAAGGGGTCAAGACTGGGCTGGTGAAACCCACAGAGGCAGCTGACCTGAAAAAAGGGGGAGGCCATGAACCCCAGACTGGTGACTGAGAGGCCAGCATGAGACCAATCCAGACCCACTGAAAGTGGGTGTCAGTGAGGAGGCCTTGGCAGTATATGGGGGCTCTGGTTGTAGATCAGTATTTATCCCTGGTTTACAAATGGACTTTGGGAGCCCATTCCAAATGGAGGGATGCTCTCTCAGCCTGGTCATATGAGGGAGGGCCTAAAGCCTACCTGGTATGATATGACAGACTTTGAAAATGCCCCATTGAAGACCTCACCCTTCCTGGGAAGCAGAGGGGTATTCGGTGGGAGACTGAGAGGGTTGGTGGTGGGCAGGGGAGAAGGGGAAAGAGAAGGAGCTGGGATTGACATATGAAGCAAGCTTGCCTCTAACTTAAATTTAAAAAAAAACAAAAAATTGTTTAAATTTTTTAAAAGGATGACACAAGAAAGAAATGTAGGATATGTCCATAGCTGCTTCAAAATCCATTTCTATGTAAAGAAAAATCTGTATAATTTTTCTAAGTTCATGTTGAATTCAGACTCCAAATCCAGGGGGTGTTAGAAGAAGGGGCAGGGACTGGCAGAGTGGGCAGAGGGCTCACCTAGTTAGGTTTGATCCAGCACTGAAAGAAATAAAAGAAGGAATATGAATTGCATCAACATAATTCATCATAAGGTAAAAGGAACAGTAGCATGATCACAGAATATATAAAAGCATATATATAAAAGAATATATAAATTCAGAGCACTGAAGCTGATGCCTATAAAACAAAGAGACTAGTAAGATTAGATCATGAAATGCTAGGGTATAGAATCAAAACCCAAATTAGGATCTTGTGCCAGACAGTTAAAATGCTTTTGGACGATGAGAGATGCACTCTCACCCTGGACTCTTGGGGGAGGGTCTAGGCCCTGCCCTGGATGAAATGACAGACTATGGACACTCCCCATGGAGGCCCTCACCCTCCCTGGGGAAATGAGGGGATATTGGAGGGGTTGGTGGGAGGGCATGGGAGGAGGGGAGGGAAAGAGAGAGGGACCTGGAATTGATATGTGAAGCAACCTTGTTTCTAATTTAAATTTAAATTTAAAATAAAAATGCTGTTGGAATGGCTTATAGAATGTTATTTAATTAAGAATGAAATGAACTAAGTTTGAAGAACATTTCTCTTAGAATGTCCTTTGTTCCTGATGTGATGAAGAAAGTTCCTATCTGGTCTTGACAAAATAATATAGCACTTGGGGACAAAAATGCAGCCAAGAAACCCTGCACTGGAAACCAAGATAGAGAAGACTTCCATGGCCACCATGAAATTTCCCTGGGTGCTGTGGTAGACAGGGAGGAAGGTTATCCAGACAGTGAAAAACACCAACATGCTGAATGACAGAAACTTGGCTTCATTGAATGTGTCAGGTAGGTTCCTGGACAGATAAACCATAATGTAGCTCCCAAGTGCCAAGCAGCAGAGGTATCCCAGGACACAGTGGAAGGCAACAACTGAGCCCTTATTGCACACAATGATGATGTGCCCATGTTCAGAGTGAGAATCAGAATCAATAAAGGGAGGAGAGGTGCTCAGCCAAAATCCACAGAGCACAATTTGGATGATGGTACAAATGGGAATGATAAAGTTAGGGGCCCTTGATGTCATTATCCACCTCACAATTCTCCCTGGAACAGTGACCTTGAAGGCCAGAACCACAGTAAGAGTTTTGGCCAAGACTGTGGAGAGAGCCACTGTGAACAGAACTGCAAATGTGCTCTGCTGCAGGATACAGGTGACTGTGTTGGGATGGCCAATGAAAAGCAAGGGACAGAGAAAGCAGAAGGTCAGAGTGATGAGCAAGATGTAAGTGAGACGCCGATTGTTGGCCTTGACAATGGGAGTGTGGTGGTACTTCACAAAGACACCAAGAACACTGGCTGTAAGTACAGAGAAGCCCAGGGCCAAGGAGGTAAGTGTCATTCCCAAAGGGTCTTCATAGGCCAGAAAGGTCACTGTTTTCTGAAGGCAGTGGTTCTGCTCTGTGTTTGCATAATGACTTTCTGGACATCTCACACAATGATCCATATCTGGGCAGAAGTGAAAGTCATCATAAGTCAATGCTCAGGTTTCCTTTTTGCTCTAAACTACCTCTCAGCTATTTAGAGTGTTATCTAATGCAACTCTTTGTTGTTTCATACTCTAAAATCAGTCCTCCACACCTCACCATTCCTAATTCTCTATCACTAATTATTGCAGATGGTTACAGCCCATCTTCGTTACTGGTATATAAACTGAGCAAGTCTGTTCTTTTCCTGATCCAGTCACACATGATCTTGGGCTACTGGATGGTCAGTGACATGTGGATTTTCTTTCATGGCTGTGAACTACTCTCAGTGCTTCTCTTTTTTCTCTTTCAAGGCCTTCACATTGGCTTCAGTTTTGGGAGTAGCCAGACATTTCACATTTGTTTCATTTGCCATCTTGGCAAAAAGCAAACTTAAACTTCCAAGTCAGTAAAAGAATTTTCTCTGCTGTTCTGTGATGGAACTTGTCCATCTGCTTACCTACTGCAGAACAGCATAAAAAGATGAGAAATTTTTCAATGAGACTGCCATCTACCTGTCTCATTGGAGATTTCATTGGCTGGACAAGTTGTACAGTCAAAGCAACAGTTAGGCTTCCCTTCCTGGGGGGATTTTCTGAATCCAGGACCACAGCTCTCACTGCACACAGAGCGGGGAATCTGAGAATTAGACATGTGTTAACAAATGCTCATAACTCTATAGATTAAATCATGCAATAAAACTATTTAAAATAGAACTACTGAGTGATAAATTTTATATACATAACTGAAGATGGTTTATCTGTGCTATTCATCAACAGGTCCATGTGTTAAAAGACTTGCCCCAAAGACAGCTATTCTATTGCAGAATTGTGGAAATTGTAAGAGGTAGGGCTAAGTAGGCTCAACTTAGCTCATTTAGAACATGTCTAGAAGGAAATGTTTGTGACCCCAGACAGATGTTGTCTGTGTACTTCCGTTCTACTGAGGTGAACAGCTGTTTTCTGATTTTTGATGCTTAATCTCCATAGTCACCCAGACAGAATTTAGAAGTTAACACAGAAACAAATCCTTGGGAGTTTCTATGAGGCATTTTCTACATTAGGAAACTTGATACTTGAAGACACACTCTGGAAGCATGTGGCATCATTTCAAAATCTATTCTCCCATACTGAATGAAAAAGAAACTGGCAGGGAAAACTATGGATAAAATCAGAGCCATTGGTATATACTGCTCCTCCAGAAGACCAGAGTTTGTTTCCTAGTACCCACATTCAGTGGCTCATGCAATACATTCTCTAGAGGATCCAACATTCTCTTCCGAATTCTGCAAACACCTGCATTCATGGGACACATCCCAACAGTAATGTATGCATGACTTTAAATGACATAAAAGAGATATGAGCAGTGACATTCATTTTTCCAAGCTTCCTGAATGTGGAAGTGTATGATCTGCTCTCTCTAGCTTCTGCAGGCATGTATTTATCCACTATGATAACTACAACTCAATCTGAGAGAAAAATTAAAAACTATCCTCCTTACGTTGCTTATAAACGTTTTAAAGGCTTTAAGGGAAAAGGCCAAATGACCATGGATAATATTTCTTAAACTAAATATCAAATTAATCCTACTTTTAGGATTTTCACACAAAAATAAATTCTTATTTAAAAGGCATTGTATTTATGACATGAAGTAAGTATCCATGAAAAAATATATTTGAAAATAGTCACATTGATAAGAAAGACATGACTTAAAATCCCTAATATTGGCAGTTCTTTTGTATATATACATAGACCCTGAGTGAGCAACCAAGGGTCATTTCATCCATAAACATATTTGTATCATTGATATAGAGATCAAAAAATTGAGATAAGATCCAACCCACCTCTGTAAGTCCTGTTGGCCATTTTATCATATGCTGAGACAAAATCAGTTGTTGGCCCTGTAGCGACTTTGGAGAAAATCTTCCAACTTGCACAGTTAGTCCTATACCTCTTGGAGAACTCCAGAAGTTGAGAATATCATACTCTGCATCTACTTTCCGTTTCAAATCCAAAACCACATTGTCTCCAGCACAATTTTTGATATGAGTATTCTTTAGAAAGGGATGAAGCTTTAAAAAAAATGAAGGGTCCTATGAAGAACTGGATCCCAGAGACATCTAATAGACGCAGAATATTTAAAGCCCCACATTGTCTTAAAACTCATCTTAAACCCACCTATTAATGGCATTGAATCAAAAAATACTCTAGGAGAATGGAACTAACATCATGTTTCTAGAATGTCACTCAATTTGAATAGGAAACACTGGCAAGAACACATTGAAAAGGAAGTAATAAATTTTGACTCAGACAAATCTCAATTTCCTTGAAATTCTAGGTACCTACACACATTTATTTCAGAACTATAGTCAGAGTTTCTGTGTACAAAACCTGAGTGTCATGACCCAGAGGATAATTAAATCACCACTTAGGTAGCAACCACTGTAGTCACATGTAACAGAATTTTGACATGTGAGAATTTAGTCCTGCTGTATCTGCTGTGAGAAACATTGGGGGGCTCTGGGGTTTTCATACCATGAGAATATTATGAAATTTGTAAAACGAACTAGGTGTTTGCTTATACACATTCCCTCTGTGCTAATGACACCCTATTCAGTGGAGATAGTGGTGTAAGGGTCTGTACTGATTTCTATGAAACCTGGTCTGTGCTACTTGGTTAAAGATAATAAAATCTGCAATAGTGTTTTAGGTCTTTTATAATACACCAAAATGCCATGCTGCTATAGTTAAAATACACAGCAAGGGATATTACCTGCCAGGGGTAGACATTTCCTTCCACATTCCTGGGAGATTGAATTTGTACTTGACTAAACATCATCTCATGAAGACTGTGAGCCACAGCATACACAGAATTATATATATTATAACTCTCTTCAGTCATGCCCATTTCCCAATTTTTCTTAGGCAACTGTTCCAAGGAAGCATTGGGTAGACAGATACCCACAATTTTACAATCATGTTGAGAAAAAGAACAATTGAAGTTTTGATGCCACAAAATAGCAAGGAAATTGTCTTCTGGGTATTTGAAAGGATTAACTGTCTGCATGAAATGTTTAAAACCAGGAATTTTTGCATGATGGTGTGAAAAAATGAGACCTGCATGGAATGAGTCAACCAAGAACTCATGTGAATGAGAATAGGAAGGAGCATGTAGTCGTGATTTCAAGACCCAGACTTTCATTGTCAGTAAAGTATGTGATAAGGTAAATATTAAAAATTTTAGGGAATCATAGTCACCATAAATGATAATCACATTTGTCAATGATTCCAGAATCTGCACACGAGTTTTCATGAGAGAGTTGAGAGTGAGAAACTGAGTGTCTGGAATCATTTTTGCAAAAGCTATGCACACTTTATTTCTGTCCATTTCTCCTCTCAAATCAGATAGAATCTGAGATGCCTTGTGGTCATCTGTGAGGACCAACCCAACCCAGGTCCAGTTAAAATGAGCCATCATCAGAGCAATGCCAAATGGAAGAGATGTGTCTGGGGATGCTATTTGATAGAGAGAAGAAAACTGGCCTCGATCACTCAGGATGGCATCAAATGATCCAAATGTAAGCTGAAGGGAAAATCAAATTGTAAACATAAGGAAGAATAAGGGCATAAAAGCACTTTTGCTCCTGTATATCCAGCTGGAAATAATAGGGACAACAGTCTGCTCATACTATTGTAAAGTCTTCTGTCACTTCCTGAGAGTTTTGCAGAGAACTGCTGACAATGCTGAGTTCCAAAAATTCTCTATCAACTCCAGCCTCTTCCTCTTTGCCCTAAGCAAAGTATTTGAGGTTGTATCACCAAATGCTTGACTCTTCCATTTGAAAGATGAGTCATTCAAACCTCTCTCATTTACATTTGGAGACATCTGGTTTCTTACTCCTTACAGCCCCTCCCTCACCTGTGGGAATTTGTAGAGATCCAGCAGTCTCCCAATATGTGAGGATGTTGCTGATGATGTTCCTGTAAGCACAGCAGCTACCTTACTTTCCCTTCTACAAGTGTAATTAGGAATGATTCTTCTCTGTCCTGTGAGCCAAATAAAAGCATCCTGCAGGACATTCCATTCATTGTTTAGAGCATTATAGAGATCAAATCCTAGAGATATGTTGGGTAAAAGATGTGGGTTCCTGTTGATCTCCTCAGTGGCAAATAACAAGGCCAAAACAAACAAATAGTTATTTTCCAGAAATCTGCATAAATAGAATACCAACATTTTATAGAACAGTCTTACCACAAATACTTGCAACTTTGGTTCAATGGCTTTTTTATTTGAAGTTTGGGTTTCCACAGACTAATATTTTAACAATTTTACATGAGTATTTGGAATCACAATGGACATAGTATCTAGATAGTCTAAACAAAATCCTTGAGTGAGTCATTAATTTGGTCAAATGGTGTTTTGTTTATCTGACTTTCATGTATGGGTACACCACAAAATACTCTCTGTGAATCCATACCTAAAAAAAAATACAACAAATCTTCGGCTGCCTTGGATATTTAGTCTCCATAATTATTTTAAAAACAATGTTTTTTGTGAAGTGGGGTTTCTCTACACAGTTCTAGCTGTTTTGGAACTCAGTGGATAGAATAGGCTGACTTCAAATTCACAAAGAACCATCTGCTCTACATCTCCAGTGCTGGGATTAAAGGCATACTTCACCACACTCAGTTGAAAAACAAACCTATCTTGATTAACACACCTATTTTACTAATACAAAGTACTTTTTGTTAGTTTAAATGTTTTTCAGATGGAGTATCATCATGTAGTCATGGTTTGCTTGGAATTCATCAAGTAAAACAGGCTTGCCTGAAACTCAAAGCTAATCCCAGTGCCTCTGCCTCCTAAGTGCTTGGCTTAAATGATGAGGCTACCATGCTTGGCCCAAGGCAATGTTTTGTAGAGTATCCAGGTAAATTGAACTCTGTATGATAGCAGTTAAATATTTATTTATAGGAAATTTTAATTAAAACATAATTTTATAACATTCTACCTTCTCTTTAATTCCTCCAGACTATCCTTAGTTCCCACCTTCCATCTCCTTCCATGCCCACTCTCAATCAAAGCAATAGCCTCTTCTTCAGTTATTACCATTACATATATGTACATATGTATACGTATGCACAAATATGTAAAAGCAACTGACTGAATCCCCACAGGAAGGAGGCTATCAGATTAGATCTGTCCTTCAAAATCAGACTTCTGTGTCCTTAGGTGGTACCTTTGCAATAGGAGCTTAACTTTAATCTCTGAGAAGCAACCATGTGCAGCAGTCATACTCTATACATTTTTGGAGTCACTTAGACTACACTGATAAACTACTGAAAATGAGATTTCTTGTTCTTGGCACTGGGACTTTTGTTACAGTCTATGGTTTTTGTGGAAAGCATTGTCAGAGCAAGTAGCATACACTTACATGTATTGTGCATGATTTTAGGCAAATATACAACAATAAGGTTCCTTGAGGCTTTTTCAAACAACCTTGGTGTTATTTGCCCTGACCCCGCTTCCCCTTGTGTTTTGACCTCCCACCATCCTCCCCAGTTGGAGCATCCCCTACATATTTTTCCATTTCCCACCTCACATCACCCTCATCTTGCTATTCTCCTCTCAAGCCTGCTCATGGGCCTTTTATACTACCCTGGTTCTTGCGGTAAGTCATGTTGTAGAGTTTCATCTGAAGATTTGGAGCAATGAGGTTCTAATGAAAGAGAAGATGAGATTTTGGGCTTTCTGAGCCTGGGATATCTCATTCAATAAAATATTTTCTAGGAGCACCATTTAACTGCAAATTTTTATTTATGGCTGAATAGTTTTCTCCTGTATATGTGTACCACATTTTCATTATCCATTTATCTAATGAACATTTAGGATGTTGCAATTCCCTACATACTGTAAATGTGGTCACAATGATAGTGGCTGAGCAAATATGTGTGGAGTAGGACCTTGATTCCTTTGAGCAGATGCTGAGGAATAGTATAGCTGGTTCATGCTGTAGACTTAATTTTAAGCTTTTTATGGTTCTACACAGAGTTCTAGACTTGCTGAGCCAATCTGAATTTTCACTAATAGTGAAAGAGGTTTTCCCTTTCCTCCAGCCTTAGTTAAGTTTCTAATGTTGTGGTAAAACTCAGTGGTCAAAAGGAAATTTGGGAACAAAGGTTTATTTCCCTCTTATAGCTTGTAGTCCAGGATGTCTGGCAAGGAACCCAAGACAGGAACCAACTAGAGCCCATGAACAAATATTGCTTACTATCTGGCTCTTGATGAATTCATCAATCTGTTGTTTATATATGCCAGGACCACTGGAACAGATATGGAATCATCCAAAATGGGCAGGAACTTCCTCATGAATCATTAATCAACAGACTATACCACAGACTTGACAAGACATAAACCTGTGGAGGCATTGTCTCAATTAAGATCCCTTCTTCCCAGATACACATGTTTGTGTAAAGGAGTCAAATATAACCAGCAAATCCCACAACTGTGCCAGTATTTGTTATAAGATGTTTTATTGATTTTATCAATTCTTATCCAAATAAGATGAAACCTCATAGTTCTTCTAATTTACATATCCCCAGTTGCTAATGATGATGAACACTTTTGATGTATTTCATAGCTATTTTTATTGTTTGCATTGAGAAATCTGCTTAGAACCCTATACCATCTTATAGCTGTATCACATGATTGCTTAACTCTTTGTTTTCTTTTTCTGGATATTGATTCTTTGTCCCACATATAGCTGGCAAAGATTCTCTCCTATTCCATGGCTTTCTTTTTTGCCCAATTGCTTCTTTTCCTTACAGAAACCTTTTACTTTGATGAGCTCCAGTTGTCAACTATCAGTCTTAATTCCTGGGGAAATAGAGTCCCATTCGTTAAGGTTTTCCATATGCCTAAAACTTATAGAGCATTGCCTAAATTTTAGTCCAGGAATTATAATATTTCCTGTTTTAAACTGAGGACTTTGATCCACTTGGATCTAATTTTGTGCAAGGTAATAGATAAAGGTCTAATTTCATTTTCCTATGTGTGGACATCAGTTTTGCCAAAACATTTGTTGAAAAGACACCATACTATCTTTTCTCCAGCAGATTTTTGCCTCCAAGTCAAATATCAGGTAATTACATTTACAAATACTCAAGCTTGGATCTTCTGTTTTGTTTCATAGGTTTACATCTACTTTTTGTGTCAGGATGATACTGTTTTGTTTCTATAGCTTTATACTGTATCTTGAAGTCTTGGATAGGAATACCTCTTCAACATTATTCTTGCACAAGAACACTATAGCTATTCGGAGATTTTTTTCCTAGGTCCATATGAATATTAGGGTTTTTTTCTATTTCTGTGAAGAGTACTGTACATCTTTTGATTGAGATTATAACAAATCTGTAAGTTGCTTTTAGTAGACTGGTCATTTTTATAATAATAATTCTATAGATCCATTAATTTGAGATATCTTTCCATTTTCTAGTGTCTTTCTCAATCTCTTTTTACATAGATTGGAAGTTTTAATTGTAGATGTCATTAACCTCCTTGTTTGGGTTTCTTCCAAGGTGTTTTATTTTATTTGAGGCTGCTGTGAATGGGAAAGTGTAATATATGGTAAGTATTCCTTTATATGTGACTGAAAGCCTTTAATGAGCAGGGTGAAATCCCTATAATCACAGACCTTCAATACAAGGTAAGGGACTGGGGATAGGGAAGGATCTTCCTTTTAAAAGGAAATAGAATGGATGGATAATTATGGATATCTGTAGGAAGCTAGCAGGAGGATCAAACAGGGAGAACTGAGAGAAGAGGAGTGAAAGGAAGCAAGGAGATACACCAAAACTATCGGCCATTTGAGGAGTCATATGAATACTACTACAGTAAATACATACAAATATGAAAAAAGTTGAAGTGGAATCATCAAATAATGGGAGATACAGCAGAACCCCACCAGGATATCCCTCACTACCAGATGACACGTCCAGGGCAATGAGTGGGTTATATCTCATTGATTTGGTGCCCAAAGAGGCCACAAGGAAACCCTCAAACAATCCAGGCTATTCCCAAAACTGCTCTCACACTTATCGCAAGAAGAAGCTGTAGGAGTCAATGCCACAAAGCTACCCGCCCAATAGGGCGGGGTCAAGGTAGAGATAAAAGGAAGTGAAAGGAAAAGGGGCTTCCCTTTTTTTCTGCTGGAAGCCAGCCACGCTTCTGACTCCCAGCTTGTGCAACTCTCTCTCCCTCTGGTAAATAAATATATTGTTTTCCCTATATAGTATCGAGTATCGTTATATCTGGTGACAGGAGTGGATTGGAATTACAGCCCACGCCTTGGAAAACACCTAAAATCGACATCCCCCAAGGTGAGTGCTAATTGGCACCTCAGCGGGGCTCGCCCCCGCCGCGGAGGCTACATTGCCACGGTCTCCACTGAGTTCGGAGCTCCGCCACTCTTCCCACGTGTGCTGTGGGGCCCACCCCAGTCTGCCGCTGCGCATACCTGCAGCTGAACCGCGAAGAGAGGAGTTGGCCTCTCCGCGCGGAGCTGTTTTCCCTTCCCTGCAAGCCCTGCTGCCCCGCCGGCCGCTGCCGCCTTGGCTGCCAAGCTGTTCAGACCCTCTGCCGTCCAGCGCCCCCACGCTTGCTGCCCACAGCTGCCGCGTGCTGTTCGCCCGTTCGTGGACACCGAAGCAACCCTGCGCGGACACAGTCAGCCCCTGCGCATGACCATTGGGCGTCCCCCGCCGCCGGCACCTGCAGCGTGCCCAGCAGCAGCTGCGGCAGCAGCAGCGCGCCCCGCGGGCCCAGCGCCATTGTTCCTCGGGGCCCCTGAGCGCCCCCGGCCACCGTTCCGCGCCCGGAGCTGCCCCCCCCCCGCCCCCCCCACGATCGCTCCGCGCTCCCGCCGCTGCCCAGCGTTTGGAACGGCTGCAACTCGCAGTTGCAGACCACCGCAAGTCCCAGCCTCCGGCACCCCCCCCCCCTGCCGACCGCCAAGCCACACAGAACCAGGGACTCTCGTGCCTGATTAATTCTACATTGCACTGCCTCAGCAGCTACCAGAGCCATTGCAAGCTCCACTGCTGTGCGGTGAATCTGCCTGCCCGAATCTGTTCATTAAGTTTTCACAGGTTCCTTGGGGAGAATCCGATTTTCCGCGGAGAGGTAGCGTTTGGCAGTACACCTCCGCCATCTGCTGGCCAAGCACGGTAACTACAGGTATTTTAATTTGAGATAATAAAGGAGGTGAATTTTTCCAATTTAGGAATCACCGATTGATGGTAAGAACATCTAGTTATAACATGGCAGATAATTTAACACTGCAGGATTTTAGAGATTTCATTAACAATACGATGGATTATGCAGTAAAACACAATTATGATATTTTTCATACGTATATGTGTGCCATGCTTGTGATTAGTGTATTAATATATATAATCACTTGGAAGAAACATGAGCTAATGTTTCAAAAATTAGAGTCAAGAATTCAGGAACAAATGGATTTGGCTACATTTAATTCAATGTCTACTGCATTTATGGTTAAGACTGAGTCTAATCAGATGGAACTTTCCAAATTATCAGAGTCAATTCAAAAGTTAGGGTTAAAAATTCAGGAACAAGGAGATTTGGTTAAATTTGACCAGGACAACCTTCGAGACGCATTCAATTCGATGTCCACTACATTTATGGCTAGGATGGAATCTAACCAGGAGGAATTTTCAAAATTAGCAGGGTCGATTCAATCTATGTCTGATAATAATGGCAATCTAGCAGATCGAATGTGTTTTCTGGAAGGAAAAATAGATGCCTTTGGAGTTTTTAGGGAGGATGGTATGAAAAGCTTGGAATCTCATTTAACTGAACAATCCAAAGAGTTAAAACAATCTTTAAAGCAGAAAATCCAAGACCTTAATGAACAATCTGAGGACTTGGGACAATTTTTAATGGAGGAAATAGAAGACCTCAATGAACAGTCCAAGGAATTGGAACAATTTTTAATGCAGGAAATACGAGACTTAAAGGATGATATGGTTGCAAAATTTCAATCTTTAGAAGATACATCCTCTGAAATATCAGAAGTTGAGTCAATGGATGCTAGGCCACTAGGATATAAACGAAATACGGCTACTAGACATCCTAAGGTGGCCTTTCCAGTAACTGTAGTAGAAAGGTCATCATCACGGAGGCACCAATCTGGTTCCACTACACAGAAATGGGAACCTATTCCCATGAAAGATATGAAATCCATTAAAAATGCGATAATGACTTTTGGGGTCCACAGCCCTTATGTAAAACAGTTACTAAGTACATGGGCTACGACCAATAAGATAACTCCCTCAGATTGGAATGATTTAATATCTGCAGTGTTGGACCAGTCTACTCAAATACGGTGGAAAGCTTTGTGGAGACAGGAAGCCAAGGCCCTTGAACTTCAAGGTTTGAGGGATGGATTTGATGCTTCTGAAAGTAAGATTATGGGGGAGAAGCAATTTTCTGACCCGCAGGTCCAAGCTGGTTATGATGAGCGTACATTTGATTTATGCAAAACAGCAGCACTAAATGCTTTGGATAAGGTTCGTGAACCAGGGGAAAGAGTTGAAGCATATTCAAAAGTGATACAGGGTCCGAGAGAAAGATTCTCTGAATTCTTACAAAGATTATCCAGAGCAGTAGATTTACAAATAACTGATCCTAATATTAGGCGACTTCTTACAGAATCGTTGGCTTATGAGAATGCAAACCCACATTACAAACAGATACTGTGGCCATTAAAGGTAAGATCAGCACCATTGGAGGAATGGGTCTTTTTTTTTTCCAGTTTAAATTTAGATAAGAATCAAGGTTGCTTCACAAGTCAGTTCCAGGTCCCTCTCCCATTCCCTCCCTTCCTCCCGTGCCCTCCCCCCCCCCCGTTATACCCTCATTTCTCCAGGGAGGGTGAGGCCCTCCATGGGGGTGTCCATAGTGTGTCATTTCATATAGGGCAGGGCCTAGACCCTTTCCCAAGAGTTCAGGGTGAGAGTGCACCTCACATTGTTCTATTGGAGTCCAAAGTCCGTGTGTAGGAATGGGTCTTATGTACAACTAATGTTGAGTATGACAATCCAGAGGCAGGAACTTGGATAAGAGAAGCCATTTCTAAAGGATTTAGGAGGAATCAGGATGAAATACGGCCTACCCAAGAGGAGACACCAAATTGGGTTGGGGAAGCAATCTCTAGAAGTTTCAAAAGACATCAAAACTTTAGATGTTTTAATTGTGGTAAAATGGGACATCTGAGTAGGAATTGTAGACAACGCATTCCTAGGAATAATGCTTCTACCAGGAATGTGTCAAACAGAAGGCCTCAACCTCCTGGTCTCTGCAGGAGGTGTGGAAAAGGCCAGCATTGGACAAATGAATGCAGATCCACAACAGATAGACAAGGTAGATCTTTAAAGCCAAAAATCGGAACTCAGGGGCTCAACCGAGCCCCAAAAAGAGAGATTATCCGGTCATTCCCAGTGACAGTGGAGGACAGCCTCACCCAGGACAATTAGAAGATCCACTGCCCATTGTAAATAATACGGCACTGGACAATACATTAGCTCCAGAGGATGAATCAATTAATCAGGAGGAGATACAAAACATATATTTTGGCAAACTTCTATACAATATCATAGACCCAAGCTACCAGTTAAGGTAAATAATAGGGTGATTTATGGATTACTGGACACAGGAAGTGACGTCACTATCCTTAATCAGCAGTCCTGGCCACACAACTGGGCTTTAAAAGAGGTTAATGTTCAATTCTTAGGGATTGGAACCCTATCTGAAGTTAAACAGAGTGTTAGATGAATTGACTTTATTGGGCCAGAAGGACAGAGAGGAAGGTTAAAGCCATACGTTGCAGATATTGCTATAAACCTCTGGGGTCATGATCTACTCCAGCAATGGAATACACAGATTAACATTCCTCCTGTATCAGCTAGGAATTACAGACAAGCTTTTAGTGGTACAAAGAATATAGTGAGGCAGTACAGAAAACAGATGCCAAATGTACAGGCTGTACAGAAGCAAGATGCTAGTGCCAAAGCAACAGAGCAACCAAAAGCTCTACCCTTAAAATGGCTGACAGATGAACCCGTCTGGGTGGGTCAATGGCCTATGACATCTGAGAAGTTAGAGGCTTTGGAGAAGTTAGTTCAGGAACAGTTACATGCTGGACATATTGAGGAATCAACTAGTGCATGGAATTCACCTGTTTTTGTTGTCAAGAAGAAGTCTGGTGAGTGGAGAATGGTTACTTATCTTAGAGCCATCAACAAGGTAATTCAGCCTATGGGGGTCTCTACAACCTGGGATGCCATTACCTTCTCTAATTCCTAAGGATTGGCCAATTATAGTTATAGACTTAAAAGATTGTTTCTTCACCATACCGTTACAAGAAAACGACAGAGAAAAGTTAGCCTTCACGGTACCTACCTATAATAATTCCCGTCCAGTACAGAGATTCCAGTGGAAGGTACTACCTCAAGGTATGTTAAACAGTCCAACTTTGTGTCAATATTTTGTGAATAAACCTCTAGAAATAATTCGTAAAAAATTTCCACATTCGTTAATATATCATTATATGGATGACATATTATTGTCTGATTCAAATAAGGATACATTGGAAAAGATGTTTGAAGCAGTAAAAGAAACTTTGCCTCGCTGGGGATTACAAATTTCCCCAGAAAAAATACAAAGAGGAGATTCTATTAACTATTTAGGTTATAAAATAGATGCTCAGAAAATTAGACCACAGAAAGTACAGATTAGAAGAGATCGTTACCGGACTCTTAATGATCTTCAAAAACTATTAGGTGAACTCTCTCAATTACAGACAATTATCGGTGTAGAAGGGCATGATTTGAAACACTTGAAAATGGCTTTAAAAGGAGATAAAGATCTAAACAGCCCACGAGTACTATCAGCTGAGGCTGAAAAAGAATTAGAATGGGTAGAAAAGAGAATATTAGAAGCACATGTGGACCGTGTGGATCCAAACCTGGATTGTATTCTAGTTATTTTACCATCTAGAGAATACCCCTCAGGAATATTAATGCAGAGGGAAGACATCATACTAGAATGGGTATTTCTGCCACATAAACAGAATAAAAAATTGAAAACATATATTGAAAAGATCTCTGATTTGATATTAAAAGGTAAGTTAAGGCTTCGTCAACTGACTGGGAAAGATCCAGCTGAAATTATTGTACCTTTAACAAATGATGAAATTTCCTCCTTATGGAAAGATAATGAGTATTGGCAAATAACTTGTAGTGACTTTTTGGGAACTATTAGTAATAACTATTCCAAAACAGAGAGAATTAAATTCATAAAGAAAACAATTTGGATTCTTCCACGTATCGTGAGACAAACACCTATTTCTGGAGTTCTTACCTTCTACACGGATGCAAACAAATCAGGTAAGGCAGGGTATAAATCAGGAAATATAAGTAAAGTAGTTCAAAGCCCTTACAACTCTGTACAAAAGGCAGAGTTATATGCCATTCTCATGGTACTTAAAGACTTTACAGAGCCTCTCAATATAGTCACGGATTCTCAGTATGCGGAAAGAGTTGTCTTGCATATTGAGACTGCAGAATTTGTTCCTGATAGTACAGAATTAACCTCATTATTTTTACAATTACAGGAAACCATCAGAAACAGGACTCATCCTATATATATAACACACATCAGGTCCCATACAGGTTTGCCAGGTCCTCTGGCACAAGGCAATGATGAAATTGATCGTTTGTTAGTAGGTAATGTGTTGGAAGCTTCAGAATTTCATAAGAAACACCATGTCAACAGCAAAGGCTTAAAGAAGGATTTTTCTATCACCTGGCAACAAGCCAAAGAAATAGTAAAAAATTGCCCCAGTTGCTCCTTCTATAATCAAACTCCATTACCAGCAGGTTGTAATCCTAAAGGTATTCATAGAAATGAACTTTGGCAAATGGATGTATTTCACTTCCCAGAATTTGGCAGTTTAAAATATGTACACCATACCATAGACACGTTCTCAGGATTCCAATGGGCTACTGCCCTCAGCTCTGAAAAGGCTGACTCTGTTATTACACACCTCTTAGAGGTGATGGCTGTTATGGGTATACCTAAAACGATAAAAACTGACAATGCTCCAGCATATGTCTCCAGCAAATTGGAACAATTCTTCAAATATTATAATATAAAACATGTAACTGGTATACCTTACAATCCCACAGGACAAGCAGTGATTGAAAGATCTAACCGAACCTTAAAAGAGATGCTTCATAAACAGCCGGGGAGAACAAAGACCCCTAAACACAGGTTACATAATGCTTTACTAACATTGAATTTTCTTAATGCTGATGAAAAAGGACAAACTGCAGCGAAAAGACACTGGACTACAGAGAAGACTTCTGAATTGAACCAACCAGTGTATTTTAAGGATGTTATGACCTCAGTCTGGAAACCAGGATATGTGCTACGTTGGGGAAGGGGCTATGCTTTTGTTTCCACAGGAGAAGAAAAGCTTTGGATCCCATCTAAATTAATTAAGATTCGATCAGAACAGAAAACGTCTCAGGAGGAGGAAGGATGACAGCTCATCTACAAGGTCTGCTAAGCATAAGGAGACCTCATAAAAGGAAAGAGAAGTATTCTGTTTGTGTCTTTACAGGACAATTAGAAAATCCTAGGTATATGGATACCTAAAGAAGAAAGGATAGCTACTCAGAGGACCACCAAACATGCAATAATGTGATGTGTTATCAATGTCTACATCTCTGTATTGTGTTATTATAATTTCTATTTCTTCCACTTCTTAATATGCCTAAGTCCCAATCCATTTAATTATTGCTGGCTTTGGAGTTGGATTAGTTCTCCTGCTTTAAACCCAAGCATATTGTTAAAATGCAATTCAGACTTTCTGTATTATATCAAAGAGCCATTGATATAAGACAGAAACAACATCAAAAAAGATATACATATATGGGGACTGTCATCTGTGTATATTTGATTTTCTAAAACGCTAATCTCCTTCATGTGTATTATCTTCTTTAGGGTTGCCTTTCCCAGTATTCATACACATTGAAGTTAAGAATTTCTGTGCTAACATTAATATTTCAGTTGTTTCTAGAGACAAAGGAATTTCTTGACAGTGATCTTCAACTGCTTCAGAAAGAGAATGTGGATTCACTTCCCCCGACTCCGCCTGATTCGACTGGATACATCTAAACTGCCCCACATCAATCGACCCCACCTGACAGGCACCATCCTGAAACCAGCTTGGAACTACATCACTCGACACATCGTCAGGCCAAGGAACTGATACAGTGCATCTTCTACAATCTGATCAGAGCTTCAGACAAGAGCTTCAATCAAAATCAGAAATCTAATCCGGAATTTCAGTCAAGCCTCTCCTGCAAAACGACCTATTTAAGACTCTTGTTATACTAACAATTTTTTCCCACAGGTCCCCATGATTGTCATCGTCCCACTTCAGCAGGAAGTAACTTTGAGAATTCCACGTCCCCTCTCCCTACTATTGACATAAGAGGATAGTTTACACCTGTTAGTGTAATTTGCAATTATTTTAGGGTTGGAACTGGAAGGAGGTGTTCAGACTTAGGCATCCCTTTCAGATAAGTTTAGAATTCAGGTGGAATGGATATGTTTAGTTTAGGATAAGTAGATTATAAATTAAGTATCACCCTCTATGTATATATGTTGTATATGTTTGAGTTTGTATCAAATTTAAATCTCCTATTTAGACTAAAAGGGGAATTGTAGGAGTCAATGCCACAAAGCTACCCGCCCAACAGTGCGGGGTCAAGGTAGAGATAAAAGGAAGTGAAAGGAAAAGGAGCTTCCCTTTTTTCTGCTGGAAGCCAGCCACGCTTCTGACTCCCAGCTTGTGTGACTCTCTCTCTCTCTGGTAAATAAATATATTGTTTTCCCTATATAGTATTGAGTATCGTTATAAGAAGCTTCTCTCACAAGGAATCTATGGGTATAAAAACATGACACTTGCAGTTGTTCCATAGCTCTATCCATTAATTAGAATAACTGTAGTCGGTTTTCCATAATGCCCATGATCTATTTATGCTCAAGTGTTTTACAACTTTGGTAATGTTGGGTATGGATGGATTCCAGCTCATGGAATGGGCCTTAATTGTGTGACCTTAGTTGAAATAAAAAATTATTCCTGGATCAGGTTTGGTGGCCATACTTAAGCCTAGCAATTCAGAAGTGGATGCAGGAGCATCTCTATGAAGTCAAAGGCTACATGAGTCTACATAGCCAGTTCAGACAGCCAAAAATACTGCCCCAAAAACAAACATCAAAATAAAACAGAAAAAGAAAAAAGATTCCTGGACTGGTTAGTTCAAGAGATAAATGCACCTGCTGTCAAACCTGACAACCTGAATCCTACCCTGAAGACCAACATGGTAAATGAGAAAAATACCTCCTATCAGTGGTTTTCTGAATTCCATACTTTTGCACCCTGTCTCCCTGCACACGTGTGTGTGCATACACTGTACTCACACACACACTATGGAGTAAACATTTTGTACACTGTGAAGATGTGTCTTTGTCAAGGTACCTTTTGATTGGTTTAATAAAGAGCTAAATGGTCAATAGCCAGGCAGAGGTATCGGCAGGAACTGCAGGAACAGAGAGGACCCTGGGAAGTAGAGAGACAAAGAAGCCAGCCAGACAAGAAACAAGTCAGATACACAGGATGCAATAGAGGTAAAATCCACATAGTAGAACATAGATTAATAAAAATATGGGCTATTTAGGTTACAGGAGCTAATTGGGAACAAGCCTAAACCATAAGCCAAACTTCCATGATTAATAAGAAGTTTCCGTGTCATTATTTGGGAGTGAGCTGGTGACCCAAAGAAAAATCCAATTACATACATACATACATACATACATACATACATTCACATACAGATACACCCTACACAGACACTGACACATGCATTCCCATAAATATACAACAGATATGCATGTATTCATACATCAGAAGAAGTCTGCCAAAGAATACCTAGTGACCTTTCCTATCCATGAGCTAAAAACTTAGAAACACTCAAATGATTCAGCAAAGTTGATTTTCTGAGCAACACAATGAATTACATTGACCAAATTCCACCCTTTCTTCCGAAAGTGAAGTGCACACAAATGGTAATTTTCCAACCTTTGATTCCCACCTGGACCCTGGTTATGCACTTCTGTTTTGCCATTTTGTGTTCACGTATGAGTAAAAACTATATTTTTCCATTTCACATCCTTAATACATGAATTTTACAATCATATGAATGCCTACATAGAACAAAATGAATCTTACTTCTTTTAAAATATTCCTATATGGTTATTTTACTTTTCCAGGATTATTAAATTCAACCAATTTTTCTGACACTATCTCCCCAATCTTTCATATTTAATACTGACTTAAGCACACCTCCATGGCTATCATCACAGTCAATGTGTGCATGTGAACATGTCTTTAACAATGAGCAAATATATACTGGGAACTTTTGAATAAAACAATTAAACTAGGCAACATTTAAAAAAACAAAAGGAGTAGCAGACAAACAATTAGATAAAAGCATGAATCATTAATGGCATTTTATGGGAAATAAGAAAGTCTAACTCAAATTTTCAGATTTCTACTCCCAAATCAGTAGTAGCTAGCATAGGTGATGTTGGTCACCCTCATGGCGCATAATGAAATTTATAATCAATGCAATCATTATCAGCATTTCTTCTCACAGGTGCACAACTAACTTTGAAAGTTTCTCTAAGTACTTTTAATAAATATTCCTTCTGCAGAAATAACATTAAAGAAATACCAAACCTGAGCAGCTACAGAAAAATGCAGAGCAACGAATGTGGAAAATAAAAGCCCTCTCCTCTCCTTTCGGAGAAGAGAGTGAATGGGAAGAAGTGCTGAAGAAGAGATCTGTTACTAGAAGCAAGGGAAAGTCCAAGTGAGAAGTGCAAAGAATATTGCTCTGAATCAACACTGCTGTGAGAGCAGATAAACACTGCATTATGAAAAGGAATAATTTTTTAAATCATACATACTGGATAAGATAGTATTCACTTGCTTCAAAGTTTCCTCTCGGGTTGGAGTGATAACTATAAAGTGGAACAAACCCAGCAATCAGCACGTTTCCGTCATGGTATAGACCATGTTGCATGCTCCTTATGCACTGAGAGTCACTGAACAGGCACAGACAGACAGGGGTCTGCAGGAGGCAGAAAGTGAAAATCCAAGGTAGCATCATGTCAACAGACATGCCTGACAAGTTATAACCATAGGGAAAATGGGCTCCACAGTCCTCATATATACAGCTATATAGATGGCTCATATGTCTGTGAGCATACATGTTTGTGATTTTATTGATGAATAAGTGTGAGTTCACCACGAATTCTTTCTGATCACCCTCCTCTTGTCCCCTAGAGAATTATGGAATACCTTCTTCCCTGAGGCTTTCCATCTGAGACACTTCATTCAAGATAAAAACAAGATACAAAATGTTTTTTGGTCTTCCTTAGCTGAAGGCCCCATGATTTCATCTAAACTAAATAAAATAACACCTTAGGGATGAAATTCTCTTGGACAGAACTTTTTACCAAGAAACTTTTATGTGTCAGCCACTTAGGATGATGCATAGTATTACATCAGAGGAACTCATACTAGGTCAAACATGAAAGGACCAAAAAATCCCAAAGCCAGGCATAGACTAGTCAAAGTAAGTGGAACAGCCTACAATCTAAAACTGACTATCATCTATGCAAATCTAACTCTCCCAGGATATGAAGAAGTCTCAAAGCGTTTTCTATGAATCATGCCTGTTTATATAACAACATTTAATCCATATGTCCCTGTTTCCCAATATACTCTCTATCTTAATCCTGGGAAAATTAAATTTGAATGAGCAAGAGGGAGATGTATGGGAACTTCTGAAGGAGGGAAGGTAAGGGAGAAATTATGTAAATATATAATAAAGTTGTTAATGCTTGATCTCAGTGTCTGTGCTACTGGTGTTATGTTCAGGAAGCTTTCTCCTGCACCAATTCATTCAAGGGTGCTTCCCACTTTCTCTTCCAACAGGTTCAGTGTGGCTGGATTTATGTTGAGGTCTTTGATCCATTTGGACTTCAGTTTTGTGCCTGGCAATAGACATGGATCTATCTGCAGTCTTCTACATGCCAGCATCCAGTTATGCCAGCATCATTTGTTGAAGATGCTTTCTTTTTTCCATTGTATAATTTTAGCTTCTTTGTCAAAAATCAGGTATTATAGGTGTGTAGGCTAATATCATATTTTCAATTCAATTCCATTGGTCTACCTGTCTATTTTTGTGCCAATACCAAACTGTTTTCAGGACTATAGCTCTATAATAGAACTTGAAGTCAGGGATGGTAATGCCTCCTGAAGTTCCTTTATTGTACAGGGTTGTTTTGGCTATCCTGGGTCTTTTGTTTCTCCATATAACATTGAGTATTGTTCTTTCAAGGGCTGTGAAGAATTGTGCTAGTATTTTTATGGGGATTGCATTGAATCTGTAGATTGCTTTTAGCAAGATTGCCATTTTCACTATGCTGATCCTACCTATCCAAGAGTATGGGAGATCTTTCCATTTCTGGTATCTTCTTTGATTTCTTTCTTTAAAGACTCAAAGTTCACTGGGCAGTGGTGGCACATGCCTTTAATCGCAGCACTTGGGAGGCAGAGGCAGGTGGATCTCTGTGAGTTCGAGAACAGCCTGGTCTACAAGAGCTAGTTCCTGGACAGCCTCCAAAACCACAGAGAAACCCTGTCTTGAAAAACCAAAAAAAATGAATCAAAGTTCTTGCTATACAGGTCTTTCACTTGTTTGGTTAGCAAGATTTTTTATGTTGTTTGGGGTTATTGTAAAGGGTGATGTTTCTCTGATTTCTTTCGCAGACCATTTACCATCTATATATAGTAGGGATACTAATATTTTTAGTTAATCTTGTATACTGCCACTTTGGTTAAGGTGTTTATCAGCTATGGCAGTTCTCTGGTAGAATTTTTGGGTCACTTATGTAAACTATGATATGATCTGCAAATAGTGAAATTGAGAAGCACCTGTAAGGCAAAGGACACAGTCAACAAGACAAAATGGCATCCCACAGAATGGAAAATGATATACATCAATCCCACATCTGATGGAGGGCTGATCTCCAAAATTTACAAAAAACTCAAGAAGCAAGTCTCCAAAACACCAAATAATCCAATTAAAAAGTTGGGTACAGAACTAAATAGACAATTCTCAATAGAGGAGACTAAAATGGCTGATAGACACATAAGAAAGTGCTCAACATCCTTAACCATCAGGGAAATGCAAATCAAAACAACTCTGAGATACCATCTTACTCCTGTCAGAATGGCTAAAATCAAAAACACCGAAGACAATTTATGCTGGAGAGGATGTGGACAGAGGGGAACACTCCTCCACTGCTGGTGGGAGTGCCAACTCATACACACCCACTATGGAAATCAGTATGGAGATTCCTGAGAAAAATGACAATCAGTCTAACACAAGATCCAGGAATTCTGCTCTTAGGCATATACCCAAATATGCACATTCATACAACAAGGACATCTGTTCCACTATGTTCTTAGCAGCATTATTTGTAATAGCCAGAAACTGGAAGCAACCTAAATGCCCCTCAACTGAAGAATGGATAGAGAAAATGTGGTACATTCACACAATGGAGTACTACTCAGCAGAAAAAAAAAACAATGAAATGCAGGCAAATGGATGGCACTAGAAGAAACAATCCTGAGTGAGGTAATCCAGTCACAAAAAGACAAACATAGTATGTACTCACTCATATATGAATTCTAGACATATAGCAAAGGATTACCAGCCTACAATCCACACCACCAGAGAAGCTAGGAAACAAGGAGGACCCTAAGAGAGACATAAATGGTGCCCCAAAGAAGGGGAAAGGGGCAAGATCTCCTGAGCAGGTTGGGAGCATGGGGGAGGGGAGAGGGAGCAAGGAGAAAGAAAAGGGGAGAAGAGGAGGGGAGAGGAGGACATGAGGGAGCAGGAAGGCTGAGCTGGGGGAAGAATAAAGGAGAGCAAGATAAGAGATATCATAATAGAGGGAGCCATTATAGGTTTAAAGAGAAATCTGGTACTAGGGAAATGTCCAGAGATCTACAAGGATTACACCAACTAACAATCTAAGCAATAATGGAGAGGCTGCCTTAAATGCCCTCCCCCAATAATGAGAATAATGACTACCTTATATGCCATCCTAGAGTCTTCATCCAGTAGCTGATGGAAGCAGAAGCAGTCACCCACAGCTAAACACTGAACTGACCTCCTGGAATCCAGTTTCAGAGAGGGAGGAGTGATGAGCAAAGGGATCAAGACCAAGCTGGTGAAACCCACAGAAACAGCTGATGTTAATAAGGGGGAGCTCATTAACTCCAGACTGATAGCTAGGAAACCAGCATAGGACTGATCCAGACCTCCTGAACATGGGTATCAATGAAGAGACCTCAGCAATCTATGGGACCTGTGGTAGTAGGTCAGTATTTATCCCTAGCAAAAGAATGGACTTTGGGAGCCCCTTCCATATAGAGGGATACTCTTCTAGTCTAGGCACATGGGGGAGGGCCTAGGCCCTGACCCAAATGATATGACAGTCTTTGAAGATCCCCCATGGAAGGCCTCATCCTCCCAGGGGTGCAGAAAGGGGATGGGATAGCAGGTTAGTGGGGGGCAAGGGTGGAGGGGAGGGAGAGGAAACTGGGGCTGACATCTTAAACAAGCTTGTTTCTAATTTAAATAAAAAATAAAGCATAAACATATATATTATAAAGTCAAAAAAATATAATTTTTAAATTATACTAAAATTCTCTTTTGGCTTGCTTTTAGAGCATTATACTTGCAGCACTATTTTGTTTTTTTTTTTACTTTAAAAAGCATTTGTCTTGGGATGTTTGAATATTCAATTTTTATCAATGAACTTGAGTTTCTTCTAGACATTGCTATAGTATCTATTCAAGAAGCAAAAATATAAAAAACCAGATGCAAAGGAAAAAAACACAAAACCCACCAAAAACTTTTTTCTTCAGCTGATTTTATGTTTCATAATTTTTTATTGGGAGCTTATTTGTCTAATTTAATTGTGTCATCTAAACAATTGTTTTTATGCAATTGTCTTTGGATATCAAATTGTGGACATATTATTTTACATTTTCAATTTATTGCACATCTGATTTAAGAGGTATGTCTTTCTAGGGTAAGTGCTTTTTAACTTAGGGTGCTTCTTTTAAGAAAGGTTTTTCAAGGAAATGGTAATTTTTAAACTCATGTAACTTTCTTATGATTCCATAAAGGAATTTTATGGTTTCCAGAAAGATGTAATGTGTTTCATTACATCATAAATATAATAGCTCTTTTATAGGTATTTGAGTTGTATCTTAGTTAGGGTTTCTATTGCTGTGCTAAAACACTATGACCAAAATCAATTTGTAGAAGAGAGGGTATTTCATTTTTTATGTCTAGTAACAGTAAGTCACAGAGGGAGTCAGGACAGAAACTCAAGTAGAGCAAGAACATGGAGACAGGAGCTGATGCAAAGGCAATGATCACTGACTTGCTTTTCATGTCTGCTTTCTTTTTCTTATAGCACTCAGGACTTCAGACACCAGGGTGGTACCAGAAACAGTGAGTTGTTCATCTTACATATCAATTATTAAACAAGAAAATGCACCGCGGGCTTGTTAACAAAACAATCTGATGAGATCACTTTCTCAATTAAGGTTCCCTCTTCCTGAATGACTCTAGCTGTACCAAGTTGACATAAAGCACAAGGTTATAACATATCATTATGCTTTCAGGTTTAACATGTTTTGGCTATATTTACTACTGTTGGATAATTGAAATATAATGTACATGTTTTCGGTTTCATTTAAAATTACTATTTGCTTGCTGAGAATATTATAGAATTTTAATCCCAACACTGAGGAGGAATAGGTATATCTCTGTGAGTTCAAAGGCCGCCTGCTCTACATAGTGAGTCCCACAACAGCCAGAGCTATGCAGAGAGACCCTGTCTCAAAAATATTAGCTATTGTCTATCTCACTTCTTTAGTAGATCAGATGCTATCTGTACACAATATCACAATTACTAAGTTAAGTATAACCTTGAAGAGAATTTTCTATCCAATCAGAAATCAGTTGGCTGCCCCCATAACATTCTTGCTCCTATTGTACCTAAGCAGATTTTGCTA